GGCCGCTATTTATAGCCCATTCATTCCATTGGTCTGCGCCGCGGGGTGGTGCCGCCGCTTTGTCCGCCGCCCACAGGCCCAGACCACCCCCTCTGCCAGCCTCCCACCCTGAGTGTCCCCTCGCAGGGACCCCGCGCAGCCCCCATACCCCACCCGGCTCTGGCCCAGAACACCGAAGCCAGAACCTCAGACCCTTGGACATCCTGGCGTTTCCCCCGACACTGCCTCCGGGCGGGAAACTGAGGCAGGAGAGCCACAGGGTACTTGGGGACGTTCGGGCTCATCTGCATCCTGGCTGCTGCCAGGGGCCGGGCGCGAGCGTCCCGGGCTTCTGAAGCAGGTCTAACCTCCGCCCCATCCACCGGGACCCAGCTGGTCGGAGCCGCCGACCTTCCTCAAGGTGCCCGCGGGCATCTCCGGGGCGGTCTTGGTGCAGAGCGGAGGCGCACTGAAGGCGCAGTCTGGCGGCGGCCCAGCCTGGCGGCACCCGCGCGGTGGCTTGACCTTGGACAAGTTCCTGGGCTCCGGGGGATTCAAGCCAGAGACCCCCGGCCCTTCCCCTCCTGATCGATTCGGGAACACTGAGGCCCCAAGAGACCGCTGGGGAGAGCTCTGTCAGTCTCCAGACCCCAGCCCTGGGCACCTCTCAGCAGGGGACGTGCTCAGTCCCTCCACTTCGCACCCAGAGGCAGCCGCCAGAGACTCTGGCAAAGAGGGGAAGAAGCACTAACGAACCATAAATATAGGTGAGATTTAAAAAAAGAAAAAAGAAAACTCACTCAAAATCAGAATCATGCACATTAAAACGACTCTCCTTTCCACGACCCCCGACACACGCAGATTGGCAAAAACGTCGGATTGACACAGCAGCCAGAGCTGGCTATGGGGTGGAATGTGGGGAAACAGGTGTTCACACGCTGCCTGCAACTGCGAATTGCTACATCCTTTTTGGAAAGTAATTTGGCAATATCTATTAAAATTAAAAATGTTCATACTGCATGACCCAACAGTCCTACTTCTAGGAATCCAGCCTATAGAAAGGACAGTCTCAGCTCTCTGCAGACAGACCAGGAGTTGCGTAGTGTAAAGGACAAACCAACCAATCTGGATATAACTCGAAGCCCACCACTTGGGGACTGGCCATGGGGTAGGGAGGCGTGTACCCAGTATAGAATATTAGGCAGCCATTAAAAAGAGTGAATTGGCGCTTCTGAGGTTAATGCCCACAGTATGTTGCTTCATGAATAAAGCACGAAAGGAGGAACCCCTTATCTATGTGCATAGCTAACAAAATCCCGCAGGTCTTCGCCGAGAGCTCTGGGCTGCAAGGGGAACGAGCTGCAGCTGGGGGAAGACTGGCCGGTCGCAAGCAGCCAAGAGAGCAAAATGCCAGCGGGAGATGGGAGGAGATGGGTGGAGATGGGTGCGGCTGGGGGCGGGGCAGAGCGAGGAATTCCGGTGTGTTTGGGGAGTGGGCATTGAAGCCAGATCCCAAGGAGGAGCACATTGGTCCCCTCTGTCTGCGCGCTCATCGACTGTCCCTGGCTGTCCCGTCGGACAGCAGCAGGGACCCCTGCTTCTTGCCCAGCTCACCTTAGAGTGTTTGACCTGTTCCCAGTCAGCATTTTGGGTGTTTTGTTTGTTTTAGATCCAAACCATTGTAAAAAGGCAAATGGTCTGGGCTGGCCAGACAGCAGGTGTCCCTTAAGCCTGGAATTCCTGCGCTCTGTCCCCTGCAGCCCCTCCCCCCAGTTTTCTAACTCCGTGCAGCTGCCCTCCCGCTTCCCCCATCCCAAAGGCCTAATGGGCTCAAGTTTCTGTTTCTAGAAACCGGAGCTGCTGGCCCTGGAGGCTGAGCTTTCGGACCCCGCACGGGTGGAGGGTGAAGTCCTCTGGACTTCCTCTTTGTCTTCACAGGAGGCTCCCCTCCCCCCACCACCCTCAGGTTGCCGAAGACTTGACCGCTTTGTGGGGCGGGGGAGAGAAGAATCCCCATTTCCACTCCCTCCGCTAGTAAGGTCCAACTGGGGAGGTGGTCCAGAGGCTTGGGGCTGCCTTGCCCAGGGTCAGGCAGGCCCTCAGGGGTAAGCCTGCTGGGGCTCCTGCAGCCCTCTGCCTTCTGAGATGGGCATTTTGTCCCCATTTTGCAGATAAGCAAAAGGAAGATCAGAAGGTGGGTGATGGAGGGGCCAGGTCAGAGGTCAAAGGTCCTGGAGCGCCTAGCATTGTGCTAATCTGACAGGGACCCACCTTGGGTACCCCAGGCAGGCCGGGCCTGGGCTGGACTCAGACTGACATGGCAAGGTGATCAGAGCTGTGACAGGGGAAGGACAGGGAGACTGAGGGCTTTAGAACCAAGTGTCAAGGTGAGGACTTCCCCATCCCCACCAGGCGGAGGCTGCTTGGGAGCCTGGGTGGTCACAGCAGGGCGGTGGGCGGGAGGTCTGGAGGGCACCAGCCTTCATCTCAGCCAGAACACTGCCCCTGGCTGACCTGGCTCTCATCTGTGGACCCTTCACTTTCCCCAGGGCCCACAGAAGCCGGTTTGGTGGCGTCCAGGTGAGAAGCCAGGTGACATCACCTGGCCAGTTTATGGTCCAAATTTCTCAGAAATCACGCCTGCTTACATATTAACTACCAGAGCCCCAGGGGGTGGGGAGGCTCCAAGGAATTCCTGCCTTTCATCCACAGATCATGTCCCCCTCCCGCTCAGCAGGGCAGACAGAGGTGGGCCAGGTGCAGGGGCAGGGCCAGGCTTCAGGCAGGGGACTGGAGACTGGCCATTCTCCGAAGCATTGTTTCCTCCTGGTGCCCTGCCCCTGAGCTCTGTGGGCCCCAGAAGAGAAGGTGGCTGGGGGCAGGAGAAAAGCAGGGCTGCCTTGGGACCACAGGGCACAGTGGGTTACTCGGCTGGGCTGGTCAGACAGGAGGGGCCCTCGGGTCACCTGATCCCTGCCTGAGATGCGTGCAGAGCAGCCACCCCGCCGTGGGCATCCGCCGCTTCTCCCTTGCCTCCAGGGGCTCCTGCCTGTTCCCACCTGTCTGCAAAACCTGCCATTGCCCCTCTGCAGCCAGGTTTACCGGCTTTAAATCCCAGTCCCACTTTGGCCACGTGCCCTTAGGCAAGTTACTTAACTTCCCTGAGTCTCAGTTTCCCCATCTGTAAAGTGGTCCCTCCCTCATAAGATTGCAGGGAGGGTTCAGTGCAGTGACACTTAGCTGGGCTTACTTAGCATCCGTTCTTGTTGGGCGGGTCCTGATTTACAAACTCCACCCAGGGCAAGGTGCCCACCCAGCCTGGGGAATCAGCAGGGGCCGGTGCTTGAGGGCTCAGGCTGAGGACTGAGCAGGTTCAGATGGAGCGGATGGGCAGCTCTGGGAAGGCTTCCTGGAGGAGGGGGGCACTGGAGGAGCTGGTCAGCCAGTCAGGGACAAAGAGGAAAGTAGGAAGTCGAAACCACAGGAAACCACTGCCGAGTCACCAAGTCTTAATTTAGACCTAGGCGTCCAGCCTCAGCTCCATGCCACAGCTGAGTGGCTGGGGAAGGAAGAGCCCCCAGAAGTAGAAAATTGAGATCTCCCAGAGGAGCAATTAAGGGGTGATTCGGGTGGTGCAGCACCAAAGAGGTGAAGCAAAGTCACCTGAAACAGAAGTTGGTGAGCCACAGATGGGGCTGGGTTGTCTCAACGTTGAGAGCTGGAGGCAGGGCGTCCATGATGCAGCCCCACGGGCAGCTGGCCCCACAGAGATGTGAACCCACAGAGAGCGGGAGACCCAGACAGCTCCTCACCTTCTTGTCTGTGGAGGTCCCAACCCAGGCCCGGCCAGGGCAGGGGCATGGAGGGGCTGAGGCCAGACACCTGGGTTTCCACCATGAACTATGAGGGGCCCATGGCAAGGGCCACAGCCCCTGGCCAGCCCTGACCTCACATGAGGAAAAGTTCAGAGCGCCCCACAGGGGCTCAGCAAAGGGGCAGGGGCTGGCTCTGTGGGGGCCTGGCCACTCCCATTTTACCAGGCTGGAGCAACCTGGGCCTAAGAAGTGTCCCCTAGGGTTATTACTAACTGGCCCTGGGTTAGCTGGGTGGGCTGGGGACATCTCCATCACTCTCCAGTCCCAAGGCGAACAGGACGAGGCCTGGTTGCAGGGAGCTGAATGCTGGAGCCAAGCAGTCTGTGTCCCCTGTCCTCAGCCCCCCCTCCCCCACACATACTTCCCAGAGGAAATGGCTCAGAGTCAGCCCTGCTGAGACATAATGGGCTGCTGCTTCCCTTTTCTGCCCCTCCCCCAGTCCCCTGCTCAGGCCACGGGGCCCTGTCCTCTCTGAGCCAAGAGTGGGCCCATTTCATGCAGCTCTCACTGCATCCTGCAATGACCCCCTCCCTCCTGTAAGCAGCTTCTGCCCTCCGGAGAATGGTCCCTGCGGGAGAGGCAGGCCAGGGAGCGGCAGCGCCCGGGCAGAAGGCCACTTCCGCAGACCCTGCCAGACCCCCATCTCCTGCGCCCTGGCTGACCCCAGCCAAAGCCTTCTGGGACGACCTTCTGACCGGCGATTCCACTTTCTGGAATGCACCCTGGGGCCCAGTCAGGGCTGTTCCCAGGGCGATGTGCAATGATAAACTGTCCACCGGCACAGTGTCCTCACGGGGCTGGGCGGTGGCCGTCGGGGCCCTGTCCTGGGCGCTGCTCGGGCGCGCGTAGGC